ACAGCTGGTAACTATTATGTAAAGGTGTGTAGGCTTTAGGACATCAACTTCAAACCTAGTTTCTAATGGGCTCCATCATCACCACAATTAGGTGGTCACAAGGGCACAGGGTTAGTAAAAGGCTTTTAATTCCACAATACAATTTGATCCTCATATTAACATTTAGCCTAGATTATAATATAAGACGCCACAGCAGTTGCCCACCATCTGTTTCTACCTGTGGAAAGAAAGCCCAAAGCTCTTCTGCTGACACATGAGACTGACATAAGTATATAATAGCCTAATTGTTTTCAAGGCAGAACCTAAATACAGTACAACCTACTCTTTAACATTACAAGCAACTACACAGTACATTGCAATATAGGAAGACAGAAAACGTATTATTCCTTGACAAAACATGTTATAGTCCACAGGTGCACAAATCTAGTCTTACGAGCAGACTAAAATCCGAACAAAAAGCAAAAAAAAGCATCCTTACAGGCCTTTTAGCAGTAGCAGTGCTGCCTGATATATTGTCTATCCTGGTTTATCGTGATACTGATATACAGTGTTGTTGATCATCAGTTTTAATGATATTTTTAGCAATAATAAAAATAAGGAAAATATTTATTTAAATAAGTAAAATAAAAAATAAAAAATTATAAGCATCCATAATCCTGTAGCGAAGCAGTTTGTTTTCTGTGTTTTTAATTCTACTTCGTGCACTTTAATCATGGTGTCAAGGACCTGACAGTTAACTTCAATGTATGACACTGGCTAGGAGTTTCAGATTAGGATTGAGCCTACTAGTGATAGGATTGGGAATCTCAGATAGTTTGCATTCTATCGCAAATGCCACTAGTTGGACAATTTAAAGGTCAGAAAACAGATAACCTGCAGCTTTAAGATGCACAATAGGGAAAGTCTCGTAAACTGTTTTCCTTTAATCTGTAGTCCATGTCCTACATCTGTCCCGATACGTTTTCTGGCTTCAAGGCATTTACAGCAACATCTACGGTCATGCTTGCTATACAGATTACGCCGTGCTGCAGCCGTCTACACACAATTCCTTTCCTCACCAAACACGAACACTGGCTTAAACTGACTGACGTGATGCCATCAAAGTTGTTAAAAACTAAAAGAAAATTTCATAAATCCCAGCCTAACAACAAGGGTAAGCTACTGTAATGGTAGCCTGTTGGCTAACCTACAGTAAGCCTTGGCTATTTTCCTAGTTTAACAAGGCAGTAAAAGAGTGAAACCATACTAAACAACATCAGAACAAAGTAAGCTTAGCAAGTCACTGACAAGAAACAAGCATGTTTATTTAATCCTCTTTAACAAGGCTTCTCTGTGGTGTCACCACCATGAAGACAGCTTCTCAGACAATATTTGAAGAAAAAGGAAAAGGAAGGGAAAACACTGACCTTTTGTTTTCAGAATGTGGCTCTTGCCTGCCTACCACCACGTGCCCCCTGTGATACTATCATAAATCGGACGATGGTATATCGCACACAAGTCCAGTCATATCGTGGAAAACAGATTTTTCTTCCCTTGTAAATAAACAATTTTAATTCATATACGGAAATTGAGCTGCAAAAAAGTATTAAATTGTTTTTGTGAGGTCATGAAATCTAAGGTGTTACATATATCCAGCTCTTTAGTCTGCAGTTTAGCCCCACCCACTCACGCTGAAGTTATAAGGAGTGTTTTAGCTCAGACTGCCTTTTCAGACACAACACAGGGCAGCCAATCAGAACAGAGCTCATTTACATACCAGTCTTAAATGGTACTGTAACAAACACAGCCTCTAAGGGATAAAAGTTGGAAAATGGTCATGTAAAAAAAAAAATTAGGACTATTTTTGGTGTGCATAACCACACTAATGTCGTAAGCGGAACCCAAGGAAACAAAAACAAAATACAAGAAAAGTGTGGAAAAAAGGCCTTAAAATCAAGTTCCTTCCAGAATTTCCGTGCTGATGTGTCTAGTTAACATTTGTCAAGCTGTGCAAGTTTCCCTTTGGTAAGAAGTGTAAGAAGCCAGATCAAAACTAGCAATACAGAGCCCCTAAGGTGGATATCTTTTAATAAGTTGTGGCCACAAATTAATATAATGGGGCTAAGAATTAATACATTGAGGCCTCAAATTAATATATCGAGGCCACAAGTTAAGTTTCTTGTGGCCACGAATCAATACTGAGGGCAAAAATTAATACATTGACAACTTGTGGACTCAGTATTAATCTGTAATCTCAACATATTAATTCGTGGCCACAAGAAACTTAACTTGTGGCCACGATATATTAATTGTTGTCACACCTTATTAAAAATAATCACCACGTCACCTAAGGAGCGTACAAGCATTGCCAGGTTTGTTAAGTATTATTTTAGCACAGTGTAGCACTACTCAGGAAGCGCTGGCTCTCTGGTGCTACTAAAACACAGTTAAATATCATCTGATAGTGTGATACTTTCGCTGATACTGAGTTTTATCGACACCTCGCAGCACTAAGCAGTAGGTGAGGCTCTTTTTTGAATGAGTGTCCTGGTTTACCTTCAGAGGAGCCTGGAGCAGCTTATGGACTCCGGCTATCTGCTCGTTCAAAGGCAGGTTTTCGTTGAGCTCGTACTGAAGAGGTCTCCTGGGCTCGGGGAAGTTTGTACACACGAACGGGTCCGTATCCTCAAGATACTGGACACGACACGTTAACGTAGCCATGTCTCAGTCCGGCCAGTAGACCGAGAGCCAGAAAGAGAATCTACCTTTTTCCGACTGAAGTCACCAGTTCGCAGTCCGCTGTGTTAGAGAGCCATTAAAGCAAAGAAAAGCTCCTTCATCCACCTGGCGAACAGAAACGAAGTGAAAGCGCGGTACGGAGCACTGCTGAGCACCTCGCTGCTGTGTGGAGCGATGAACCCGGCACAGGAAAAAAGCTCAGCTGAAGCGCTGAACAGAGTTATAAAGTGGGAAGAGCACCGCCCATTTATCCCATTGATCATTAGAGAAGCAGAGTCAGACCGGCTCTGGCAGCGGAGAGCACAGACAGGCAGAATGAGCTTAGTGCCTGCAATTCTCACCGCCAACTAGCGGTGGCGCTGCTTTAAAAAAATGTCCCTCCTACTTAGAAATTAGTTCCAAAATATTTTGTAACAAGAAAAATGTATAGCTTATTTAGCTGCACAATACAAACAGTCAACCTACATGTGTATTTTTTGTATTTTATGTCAAGTTTCCCTTGGGGACTATTTTGCTTTACAATCCTGCAGGTACCTTCTTAAATGAGTGTTTTGTTTGTTTTGTTTTGTTTTTTTTAAGAATATGTCTAAGTTTGAAATCTTAAATCTGGATGACTTTGTTTACATCTAACAATGTCAATATGCAGTGATTTGGAAACGTAGGTGGAATTTCCTATCGGGATGAGACACAGGTGTAGATGTTCCACAGTGAGACAGCAGTGATAGGAACTAGGGATGGGATGTCTGCAAAAGCATTTTATTTACCATCCAAAACAATCAGTGAACCTCCAAATGTTTTCTCAGTTTTTATATCTAATGTGGATAATAATGAATATTATGGAACATGAGTATTATGAAATAGTAGTAAATCTGGAAAAACAGTTTTCTCCACCATGAAGGAATTTAAAAATAATAGCTTCAAAACTACCATAAAACAATGCTTAAGACATCAGACAGCATATTTGTAATCATTTCCTGTCATAACTTTCCATGAAGTAGCTTTTATGATCATTAAATACTTACTTTCTCGCATTTCACATCAAACGACTCTGAACGAGTTTGTTTATATATTGCTGTTGTCAGAACAAAACCATATCATTTATCATTTTGAAGATACAAGATTTTGCTCCGACAGCATACACACATATATGGCCAAAAGTATGTGGACACCCTTCCTAATTATTGAGCTCGTGTGTTTTAGCCACACCGATTGCTAACTGGTGGATAAAATTAAGCACACAGCCTTGCAGTCTCCATAGAAAAACATTAGCAGTAGAATTGGTAACACTGAAGAGCTCAGAGACTTTGAATGTAACACTGTCATATGATGCCACCTTTCATAGAGCTGAATCTCTAGCTTAAAAAACAAATAAGTAAAATAAACGAATTAAAGGAAAAGGGTTAGGTAGAGGGGACATTTACACGAAACTGAGTATGATATAAAATGCAATAAACAGTAAGGCAACGCATAAAGCTACATAATACTGGCTTATGGAGGAGTGGAAAGGTATGAAATAGACTTTGATGTAATCATCAACTTATAAACCAACATGAAGCAGTTAAAAGTAACGAACATTTTTTATAGAGCTGATGAGTTTTTATAGAGTGGAATTTCTAAACCAGTAACCCAGTAAAGTTGTTGTTTTAGGTGTGAAGCACCATTACAGGCCATTTTACTGTGCATTCCAGCTGCAAACTAGCACAGCAATGCATCCCTCAGCCTCATTAGTTTGAAAGAATTTAGTTTTTTTATCCAGCATGCATCCCTCCATTGCCTAATCCCACCCCCACCCTAATCTGACTGTTAACGTAGCCAATGATGTACTGACTAATAAATGTGAAATTCAGCTTCCTTGCAGGCACTTTTGCTATCAGGATTCCTTGTGCAAAAAAACAAAGAACACTCAAACAGCACACCTCAAGTTTTCACTCCAAAGAGCTTGTAGTTTTTCCTTCAACCTTCAAGAGGCATTATCAGAAGGGGATTTTCCCCAGTCTTGGCAGAAACACTTTGGGTTCATACTAAAAATAACTCGAAGACCTTTTTGTTGTAATGTTTCACTTTATTTTGAGGTCCTTCTTGTGTTTTCTTTTTAAAATTCTAGACATTGCACAGAAACTGCAAAATACAAATAGTATATTCTGTGATAATAGCTATCAAAATCCTATACTAGCTATTTTACCTTTGTAAACCTGCAAACCGAACAGGAGTGAGCAACGTCCAAATTCCACATTTATATTCTGCTTCATTTTTTGGAATTCCACAGAATCCCTTCAAACCACTGAGTTTTCCTTCCCACACAAGTTAAAAACGCAGGACTGCCTTGTCTTGTTTTTACAGTCTGTTTGTCACAAATGATTACAATATCATATAAAAGGAATCATACCTGTCATCCTTACGCTGGTATGTCATCGTTATATTGGTAACTCTCTGTCAAACATTGCTTTAGAGACCTTTTATCACAATTAGCGGTTGATTAATATTTCTCACCCATAATGATGCCATCAGGCCTTTATCACATTAATAATACTGATTCAACTATTTTTTGCAATTTTTTTGTGGATCATCAAATACCCTTTGAAGGCCTGCAACATTACAATGCTGGCCACATTTCCACATCCCTCCTCTGTTTCTCAGCTTTAAAGCAAAGCTTGGACCTTTTCACCACAGTTAACATCTCCAAAGCAATGTTGATAAAGCTACAACAAAATTGCAGCCTCCCTTTCCTATAATGTATGTAAGACTATGAACACCGCCATAGCTTAGCACCAGGACCCACAAATGAAGTCTGAAAGTTGTTGTTTTACATGTAACAACCACAACATGACATGAGCAGAGCAGAGCAGACACTATGGGCGGATTGCAGGTCCCGGCGGACTCCAACTCCCAGCATTCTCAGCTTCCGTTCTGGTTTGACTGGAGGTACTCGTTGTACAGTTTCTCTTGTGCTTCGTAAAGCTTGCGAAGCTTTTTGGTCTGTCCCTTGCTAATTTCCTTCCCTTCTGCGTCATGTGTGGGGAAACCCTGTGCATAAATTTGGAGATGAGGTTATGAAAAGCATTTTTGATGCGAATGCTGTACCTTATATAAAAGCATAGGCCCATATTCATCATAAGTTGCATTAAAAAAAAAAGAGTGCAGATTTGACCACCTGTAATGACAAACAAACTACTCCGCATCTGATTCATGAAACTTTTGTTTGACATGGAAACAAGCCGAGATGTGAAAACAAATGATGAATCGGATGAATCAGCTTCAGTGTTAAACCAGCGCGAGCTTACCACCACCTCATTTACATATCATTTACATGAAGTACACACTCATTCATGCAGATGTTTCAGTGGAAAGCCAGTAAAAACAACAGTATCTATAATCAGCTTGTGAGCCAATGGCTGTGCTTGTAGGCGGAGTTTGAGGGTGACTACTGGAAAGAATCAAATGTGAAAAACAAAACGTCTCAGTTTTCTTAGATGGTAGAATGCTGCGATTGTGTAGCATAGTTGCAGCACTTGTTTTATAGCAATGTGCATGTAAATTAAGGACACTTTTTGGGTTGCCATGTGCACAGACTATTATTATTATTATTATTATTATTATTATTGTTACTTAATCTTTTTGTTCTTATTATTGGTATTACAGATGATACTGATAGTAGTTTTGGTTAGTTTTAGGTTGCTAAAGTATTAACCTCAAATTTACACACGCTGCTATCAGATTTTGATCATGCAGATACACCAAAGAAGAAAATGATAAATAACAAAACTACTGGTGAAATGGTGCGCTCATTGTTCAGATTTCACCACATGCAACTTCAATGAATAAGGGACATGGGTTAAAAAATAAAAGATAATTCACATTTGAATTAATCACGATTTTTCCACTATGTTCGAGAGAAAAAAAGGAAATATGCTCCATTACCGTGTTATCAAAGCTGGAATACTTGTCCGGTTCAGAGCGGAACATTTCACTAGGTGGAATCTTCATTTTTGCCTGTTTGGCCAGCTAGAAGATTAATAAAACACTGATGTAGGGCATTTCTCAGAACAACATCCACCACATTTAATTTGTTAAACAGCAGCTGTTCTCACCTCTTGTTCCTGCTTCTTTTTGGCTGCCTCTTCCTTCTTCTTTCTCTTTTCCTCCTCCAGCTATAAATCAAAGAAGCAAATAATTTTGTAATCAATGTAACAGGAGAAAAAAACGCATGCTGGGGTATACGATGAAATTTAATTAGCATATTTATTTCTAAAAGAGATGTGGTGACCGTAATTCTAAACTAACATAACAAAAGAGTGTAAGTTGAGTCCTGTTCTGCTGACTGTCATACACTCTGACTCACTCCAAAGCCTCTAATGCATTTTTAATGAGCGCAGTCATGTCTCAGCATTCTTTACTATGCTCTGCCTCCGGCTGGGAGATACAACAGAAAATGTATAATAAGGATAATTTAACTACATGTAATTAAAACGAATAAATAATGACAGTTGCACAACTACACCACTGTTCAAAAGTTTGGAAAACTAATTTGGAAGCAGACAAGAATATAAAATGATTCCAATATGCTAGTCTGGTGTGCAACTTCACAGGTTTATAATGATTAATGACACTAGGAAGCTGTAAAAAAGTTAGAAGTGTGCAGAATGACAAATGGAGCCATAAAACACTCTGAAATGATTGAGAAAGCCGTGTAACATCGAGAATAATCCCAAAATAAAATGAATATCCAGAATTCATCATATTTCCAAAGGAGGGATAAAATTTCAAGGCAGATATCTTCACAAA